AATCTCTTGATAGGAATAATGACTAAAAACTTCATGAAAGCAAAGCAACAGGGGCAAAGTTAAACAGGACAAGGCATTTGGATTAGATTTGATCGCTTTGGATTTTACTTCTTAGCAGTTCTGACTCAGAGACCAGATCCTGCATAGGGTTTCTGAGGTTGTAAATCTTTATGGGAGCAGAAAGCCTCATCTTGCTACTGTGGAATGGCTCATAGGTTCAAACTGCTAATCTCAAGGTTAACAGTAGGACTTCTAACCTGTAACAGAGCTCCTTTTACTTCTTAGTAAAAGTTTGAACTTCTGACCTAGAAATTATCAGTCCAGTGCTGATCCTTCATCGAGTCTCACCTTGAGAGTAGTACCAGCTAGTATTTATTAATAACTTCAAAGGAATCCCTTCACACTTCACTTGGCTGAAAAGGTAAAGACGAATACAATAGTCTTTTCACTGTTTTCTTAAATCAGATAGCGCACAACTTGTCCCAAAATCATTTGTCCAAAAGCTAAGAAATTAGATTATAAATAAGTCACATCCATTCTTTTACTTCCATCCTTCTACTCCTAAAATATATATCCTGTGCTTTAGAATTTTAGTTTACTTAAACCGTTTAAGACATAAGGCTATTTCCATTCACCAGAACAAGCTCCTATAGTCTTGTATATTTAGAGGGAGGTCATTGAATCTAGGAGTGGAACATACATAGTTTGAATAAAACATGCTTGACATTTTAATTTTTAAATTTAGAGACTTTTTTCCCCCCCAAAGCTAGATAAAAAAAATTAACATAATCTTCTTGACTTGTGAAGAAACCCAGAGAACAAGTGAGGTCATGAGCCTTCTTCTTCTCATCCATTTTAGTCTCCTTTCACAGGCAAGGAATAAAATAATTTCCAAAGAAACATGAGATTTTTCATTATCAAAGAGGGGCAAAGGTTATACAAAGGTTAAGAAACACCTATAGAAACCCTGCAGCTGGAGAACTATTTAAACCTCACTAGAGACAACATATTCTCCCCATGAGACAAGCTATAGGAAGGAGATGGATTGAAGCCTTTAATCTCTTCTATGGTAAATAGAGCTCCCCAAATCAGATTATAAACATTGGAACATGAACTTGAGTGGTTCCCCTAAAAGTTCTTATTTAAGAGACTCTGCCAGACCTTTGTTGTTTTCAGTTCTCTTAGAAGAAATGGATAACTTTAAGTCTGATAAACAAGATCCCTGAGTGAGGATTTGCTTCTTTACAGATTTGCTACTCCTACATTTTAAAAAAGAAAATGGAAAAATAAATAGTACTCTTATATTTTTCAATTTCACTTAAATTTAATCCACATTACTCTTTTGAAAATGGCCTTTTATTTAAGTAAGGTCTACACTGATATGCCCAAGATGGCTATAAGAGCAAAGTTGTTTTTGTTTTTGTTTGGTTTGCTTATGCTAACAAGAGCCTTCTACTATAAAGTACATGGCTTCATTACCTTCCATTAGAGTCTTGGTTCTTTGTTTCTTAGCACCATTGAAATATCTACTCCATGCGCTTTTAACTTCTCTTATTTAAAGCAGTACTCAAACAAGGTTAGAGTTTTTTTAGTTGAATGATATTTAATACAAAATGTAGGGGCAGAATCCCACCTTTATTTGGGCAAGTTCAAGATGATTCATGCATCTCTGAATGACTGTTAGAATAGCAAGTTTTGATATCTCAACTGTTATCAAATTCCTGCAGGAATGTCTATTAGCATAGTAGCAGATCATGGTTATATGCACAAATTCATGTTATTAAAATTACCAGATTGATACTCGAGCTTACAATGATAGAACCACTGCAGTGTTCACACATGCTAGAGACAAATGAATCATATTAATGTGGGTGATTGTTGAATACTTGTGGCAAGGACTTGGTTCTTGCTTGTCTCATGGCTTGATTACTAATGGATCTTGAATAAGGATGTATTCAAGTCCCAGTAAAAAGTTCAGAGTCTCAGACAGCAAGAAGTTGCAGAGCTGTGTAAGAGAAATGCTTATGTAGTTCTGTGTTTACTGTCATTGATAAAGCCTCACTATACATGTGCTTGGTGTGATGCTGTAGGATAAGCACTGGACTGGTTACCAAAAGTTTGGCTCTTTAAACGTACTAGGCACTCTCAGAAACCCTATACAATGTCATTGTGAGTCAGACCAGATTCTATGGGACACAGTAACACAAATGTGCCAAGACTGGGAGTGACTGAAACTGCAGAGCAGTGTCCCTTTGTGGGTGAAGTACTGGAGCAGGACAGCTGAGCTCATCCAGAGACATACTGGCATGAAGCTAGAAAATCAGTCATGGAAAACAGAGAGCTTTGGGGTCATCTGCAGCAGCTGGGGCAGTCTTTCTCTCAGGCCAAGCTGGAAAATTCCAAACTCCTTTTCTGAATGCAGCTCTGTTTTATCCTGGTGAACAGTTTAGGACTAAGCCACCATTGCATGAGGTGGACTTAACTCCTGGGATATTTCATTCGCAGCAACTTTCCAACATCACACTCAAAAGCTTACCATACAAGTCAGTCATCTAATCTTAGCTTTCAGCACCCATCTGTCAGTTTCCCATATTAAAGTCCAGCCTGGGTGCTAGGATGCTGAAGTTATGCCACCAGTATTTCAAATACTGTCAAACACCACCCATGGTGGATGGGTTTCAGCAGTGATTCCAGCCTAAGGAAGATTAGGGAGGAAGACTCAGACTTTCACAACTTAATCAATTAAATCCTATGGGTCACAACAAAATAGTCCAATATAATGCTGGAAGATGAGTCTAAATTGAAAACCGCTCAAAAACAGTGGCTTCACTGAGGACTCTAGACTCATAGAAACAGAAAGGTTGCATGTTGGCAGGCAGGAGACTGCCTTGCAAAATGTACCCTTTGGTTGTTTAAACGATTATATATCCCTAGTGTTTTTGTGTACATTAAAAAAGGACAACAAAAGGGAGGGGTGGATAGAGCAAATACTGTTAACTGATGGTGCATGGAAAGGATTGTAACCAATCAAAGTGATTGGTTGAGTACAAAACCAATGTTCTCTCATGTAAACTATCACTCAATTAAAAATAAAAGCATAAAAAAAATACAGTGGCTGCACCAACTGATTCAATCATACCAAGGACCATACAGATGGTGTAAGATCCAGAAACACTTCATTCTGTTGTACAAGAGTCAGAATTGATTCAACGGCAGCTACCAACAACCACCGCTATATTTACCTGAATAAACCAACACATTGATTAGACTGACCACTAGATGTTTTTGTCACCTCAACTGCATTGCAAGCCAAGACAGATGCCCCAAAGTCAATTTCCTAGTATAAGAACATAATAAGTAAACAATAATTTGAAATAATGATATCACTGAAGCAGCTGTTCAAACAGCACAAAGGGATGATGCACATACTAAAATCAGGAAAAGTGTGAGTCAAGGCTGTATGCTTTCACTATACTTATGCACTTTATATGCTGAGCAAATCATTCAAGAAGCTGGACTATATGAAGAAAGCAACTTCAGGATTGGAAGAAGAAAGATGACACAACCTTGCTTGCTTAAAGCCAGGAGGAGTTGAAGCATTTACTGATGAAGATCAAAGACTACATTCTTCAGTATGAATTATATCACAGTGTAAATACAATAGAAATCCTCCTAACTGGACCAATAAGAAATGGAGAAAAAATTGATGTTGTAAAGGATTTCATTTTACGTGGGTCTATAATCAATGCCCATGGAGCCAATAGTCAAGAAATCAAATGACATATGGCACTGGGCAAAAATGCTGTAAAAGAATGCTTTAGGGTGCTAAAAAAAAAACCAAGATGTCACTTTGAGATCTAAGGTAAACCTGACCCAAACCACAATATTGCCAATCTTCTTATATGCATGTGAAAGCTAGACAATGAATAAGGAAAACCAAAGAACTGATGCAGTTGAATTATGGTGTTGGCAAAGAATAATGAATATACCATGAATGGCCAAAAGAATGAACAAATCTGTCTTGGAGGAGAACTTGCCTTAGAAGTGAGGAAGGTGAAGTACTTTCAACATGTTATCAGAAGGGACCAAGAAGAACATCATGTTTGGTAGGGGACAGCCAAAAAAAGGAAGACTCTCAATGAGATAGATTGACACAAAGGCTGCAGCAAGTGATAGTGAGGACGGTGCAGGGCTGGGCAGTGTTTTGTTCTGTTGTGTTGCTATGAGTTGGAACCAATTCAACTGCACCTAACAACAGTAACACAGTAATTAAATACACAGCGAAGAACAAATGATGAAATAGGCCTACACCATTTACACTATCCTTGAATGGTGGGTTAATTTCAAAGGACTCACCATAGTTAGATTGGTAAAGAAAATATGATAGGACCAGAAGTACTAAAGCTTTGTTGTTGTTAAGTGCTGTCAGTTCCAACTCATAGCCACCCTGTATAGAGTCTCCAAGAAGCAGCTCAAGGGTTCGATCCACCGACCCTGCAATTCAAACTGCCCTTGTGGTCTAGTGCTTATCCTACAAAGTCACACCAGGACTGTAGTCCAGACCAAATTATTTACTTTGGGTTAAAATTTTCAGAGAACCACTCTTGTGATTAATGATATTTTCTAAATTTTCTTTGGAACCTAATGAGTTATTATCATTTCTGGCATTTAAGTTTCCAAATATCATAAAAGAGTCCTGATTGTTTGGAGATGAGAAAAACCAACATTCTACAGATTGGTTTGCTCTAATGGGGTTAGATATATCTAAGAGTATTTTCAACAGTTTCATATCATCTTCTACAAGTATATTAATAGGACTAAGACTAATGTTCTACTTTCTCATTTTTTATAATGTTTTGAGAAAGAAATTTAAGTTGTACTAAACATTACAGTATTTAATGTGCCCCCAAAGTAAGAAGCCCTGGTGTTGCAGTGGTTAAGTTCACTCTAAAGTTGAGATCTGTATTTGTGTCCATTCCAGAGAGAGACAACCCAACGGAATGTGGAAATCATCGGACAATATCTTCGATATCCCAAGTGAGTCAAGTTTTACTAAAAGTTATACAGAAACAGCTGCAAGCATGCATTGACTGAGAACTTCCAGAGGTTCAAGTCAGATTCAGAAGAGGCCATGGAATGAAGGATATCAATGCTGATGTCCGATGGATCTTGGCTGAAAGCAGAGAATACCAAAAAGATGTTTACCTGTGCTTTATTGGCAATGCAAAGACTTTTGATTGTGTGTATCATGAAAAGCTATGGACAACATTACAAAGTATGAGTAT